CACCACTCATTAATAATGCAGCAATTCCTGATGATGTTACAGCAATTGCAATTCTATTTAGACCACTTGTTGATCTTGCATAAGCTAAGATCATATTATATAAAAATGTTTTTTCAGTTCCTCCAGGTCCATCAACAAAAATTAATTTTTTATTAGAAACTTCATTAATTGCATCTATAACTGTATTAAATATATTTCTTTGATCAATATTTAATTTATCAAAATTATTTAATGTTTTTTTAATATTATCTTGATTATAATCTTGTTTATTAACAATTAATGTATTTTGTTGATCTTTATCAAATAAATCATTATTTAATTCTGGAAGTTCATTTGAATAATTAGAAAGACTTAATTCATTTTGTATTAAATAATTTTCAAGAAACATCAATATTTTTGCAATTGCTAAATCTTTGCTATCTCCTTTGAATATAAAATCTTCAATTAAATCGTCAACATATTTCTTCCAAAGTTCTTTTAGATTTGCAGGTTGACAGTATATTATTATTGAGGCAAATAATTGTCTTAATTGAATAGGCATTTTGTATATAACTGCTTCTTTTAAACATTTATCACATTCATCATCATCATCTACTAATCCATATCTAATGATAGCAAGAAAAGAAACTCAGACTAGTTTATTTGTGGCCTAAACCAAACAATATATTAAATTTAATAAAGCTCTTAAGTAAAATCTCTCTTGGTCTTTTGGATTAACAAAATGTATTCGAGAAATTACTTTATCACCACCTCTTTTTCTTTCATACCAATTATTATTTTTCCAAATATAATGTTTTGGCATATCTATATATCTTAAATTCTGAATCTTTTCATGATCAGGATTATTTTTACAAAGATCAAAATATCTTGTCAACTTTGTATATTGACCTTTTTCAAGAGTAGATGGTATATCACTCTCTTTATCAAAATAAATATTTTGTTGACCATCCAAGTGAACTAGAAGTCTAACAACTGTATGTGATCTTTGTTGTAAACCAAAATTAAATAATCTCTAAATTCCTTCAGATGCAAAAACATATCTTGCATTTACAAATTTTTCAATTTTATTTTTTGGATTTACTAATGAAATTAAGATCCTATCTTCTCCTTTATATATATATTTGTAGAGATATTTAACTAATTTAATGCTTGAACATATTTCTACATTGATATGACAATCATATTTTTAACTTAAATATGGATTATAAGGAACAATCCATATATTGTCAATATTTATTGATACACTTTTTTTCTTAATTATTCTTTTATTATTTCTTCTTCTATAAGTAGGATATCTATTTTTATTTGTTGTACTTGTAGTAGCAAAATCTCTTGGAAAATATTTACTACATTTTCTATCAACCATACATGGAGATGATGGATTTATACTTCCACAGGGTCCATGAATCATATTTTTGCTAATTGTTTTATATAATTTTGGTTGTTTATCCTTATCTGGAATCTCAGCAGATACTATTCGATCAAAGTCTTCTGGAGTTTGTGGTTTATCTTCAGGTGCCATTATCATTAATATATGTACATGTAGTAATCCTCTTTTTTGAAACTCAATTACATGTACATGAGCAATAACTTTTCCAAGAACTCCTTTATTAAATAAATCATCAGTTATTGCATTTAATTTTAATTTAAAAACCCTTGCAATTAAATCTGGCCTATCAGAAGATTTTTGATTTGGTAAAAGTTCATTTGTAATTTCAGGCCAGGTTGGATTGCATGTTACTGTTATAAATAAATTAGGTTTTCCAAATTCTCTAACAATTGCCATTGCATCTTGATATAATTGCTGAAAATATCTTGTAGATCCTGTAAAACTTGATGGCAATATTATTTGTTTACCAAGTTTATTTATATTTGCATCTTCATTAGAAATCATATCATTTAATCCATAATATGTTTCTGTTCTCAACTTGGCTTGATTTTTATATTGCCAACATAAATTGTTTGTTTTCCATTTTACATATTGATCTACTATATATTGTTGAAATAATCTTCCAGCATAATGTAAAGTACTTTTTGTTCTATTTGAGTCTCTAATCATAAATCTATATACCACAAACTCTCTAATTGTAACAGTTTTTCTTTTGCCTTTCTTTTTTTGTTGAAGTTTTGATGATTTTAATTCTTCATTATCATCAGAATGTTCATGATCAGAACTAATTGGAAATTCTATTTCCTCATCACTAATTTCAAAATCAATTGGTAATTCAAATAGTTCTTCAACTTCTTCAACTTCTTTAACAATTTCTTTTTCTTTTCCTTTTTCTTTATCACTACCAATAACTTCTTTTCCTTTTCCTTTTATTTTCTGCTGAGATTCTTGTTTATCATCAGATTCATCATCATCAGATTCATCATCAGATTCAGATGGAAATTCACTTTCTGTTGCAGTTACTTTATAAATTTTCTCTATAGGTTTACTACTTACAGTTTCTATATTTTCACTACTTCCACTAACACTCATACTTTTACCTTCACTAATACTCATACTTGTAGAAGATTGAAGAGTTATACCTTCCATTATTTCAGAAACACCTGTTTGACTTGTTTGACTTGTTGGAAATAAAGATTCAAATTCAACAGGTATTGTTTCTTGGGGTTCTACTTCTTTTTCTAATTCTGATTCAGATTCTTCTATTTCAGATTCTATTTGAATTTCTTCTTCAACAATTGTTTTAGATTGTTCATCAACTTTTTCAACAATTGTTTTAGATGATTCACCAACTTGTGTATCAGCATACATTGCTTCTACTGTTTCTTGAAGATATTTTTGACGTTCAATAATTTTTATATTTTGTTCAATTGCTATAGAAACTAATTCTTCTTCTTCTTGTTCAATTGTTTTAGAAATTGGTTCTCCTTCTTCTTGTTCACTTTCTTCAGAAATAGTATTTTCTTTTTGTTCAATTTCTTCTGCAATTACCTCTTCTTCAATTGTTGTAAGAAATTTCTTTTCTGGTTTTTTTGGTTTTCCTTTTTTTGATTTTTTTCTTGTACTTTTGCTTTTAATATACCTTTATGCCAACCATATTCTTCATATAAAAATAATAAAGGATATTGTAAAGGATCATAAGCACCATGCATTTCTGATATTCTTACTAATCTATTATCATTTCTATAAATAAGAATATCTCTTTTATTTGGTTCTTGATTATCAAAATTAAAATATACTACAGCTATTTCTGCAGCTGTTGGTGTATTATAATTTCTCATATCCTTGCTATGAGTATTATGTAATGCTATATATAATACTTCTATTTTTTCATTTAAATCCTCTTCTTCATGTAATTCTTGTAATTTTTGATATTCTTGTTCTTTATTTTTTGCAGATATAAAAGTTTGAACAAAAGGATTTTTATTATATAATTCCCATTGAAGTGCTTCTAACATATCCTTATTTAATGTTTCTTTCATCATTTTATGTCTTCTATTGATTTGGCTTTCAAAATCTTCACCATCATAAAAATATATTTGAGCAAAAGTTGGTTTAGGTTTTTTATCTTCAATATGTTTAGGCATTAAAGAACCATATTGATGATAATGTTGTCCTTTAATTTTATAAGTATAAACCCCTTGTTTGGCATTAGCAAGATCTTTATCTAATGTTGCACCACTAATTGAAGTAAAAGCAAATACTTGATTATAAGCTCTTATTTTATTAACAAAAGGTTTATTAGATTCTGAATCTTCTCCTGTAAGTAGTAATTCTAAATAAGGTGGTGGTTGTTTAAGTTGTGCTAATTGAATTTCTCCTTTATTGTAGCAAAGTCCTAGTTTTTCTTCTTCTCATCTTAAAGCTAAACAATATTCACAAATAATATCCATTCTTCCAAATCTATGTTTTCTATTTTCTATATTCTCTTCAACAATCCTCTCATCTAAATGATCATCTAGACTACAATGTCCTATTCTATAAAATTGTTCAAATTGTTTTTGTTTTTTCTTTTCATATCTTTTTCTAAAACTATCTCTATCTTTTTGTCTTTTTTCTGCTTTTTGATCTTCTGTCATAGAAGCTCTCAGTTTTTGCTTTCTTAATCTAACAACTTCTTTACTTTCCTTTTTTTGTGTTCTTGTTGCTATTAGTAAATCTGCTTGTGTTTGGGATCTTGTTCTTGTTGAAGATCCTGCAGGAGAATCCTCTGGTTGTTTTTTTTTGTTTTTTTACTTTTGGTATTTCCTATCTCATTAAAAAAAATTAAGATAATAAAATTAATTATTTATATAATTATATTGAATAAATAAATATATATTAAATAAATTAAATAAATTTTTAATATCTTTATTATTAATTATAAAGTTTTATCTCTTTTCTTTTTTTTTATTATTAATATAATGCCATAATAGAAACTTTATTACAAATAGAAAAATAATTCTAAACTTAAGATTTCTAACTATATTTATATTACATAAAGCACACAATATGACATTACATCCCCTATTTCTTATGAAATGCTATAGTTAATTATTTTAAACTAATTTTTAGCTAGGATAGGTTGAAGGAGACCTAAGGTAATAGTCATGGCATTAAATAAAATATGCAGTTAAAGCATATCCTTGTAAGAGCTATTTATTAATAAAGAAATTAATATCTAAAGGTTGTATTATTGTTAAAAGATTATTTGAAGAAATAAATGTGTTGAGAAAGTAAGATTTTGTACGTTTAGCTTTGGCATTAATATTTCAAGAGAGTTCCTATTGATGTTAATAAATATTACAAATAGACTATAGTTCTTGACAGTACCAAGATAAAGATTATTAGAGAGATTAATTTTTTTTTTTGGTATTAAGGTGAGGCCTTGCTCGTATCTTTATTAAATAATTTTTAAAATAGTAACTATATAGAA